CAGAGCGACATAGTTGTCCTGCTTTGCACAGAGCATTTAGACTGGCATTGCTATTGCTATTATTGGGAAGTGAGTCACAAACAGGTTGGTGATTATTGTGCTCCGACTCTGGCTCCTGCATGAGCATATCTGGAGGAATGCTGCTGGCACAGCAGTGACAAGAGGTCTCTGTCAGATCCCACAGTAATAGAGCCTCTCACTGGTGGAATAAAATGCTGATTTTCATTGGCTGTCCCTCTCGACTTCCTTTCAGCCCAGATCCAAAAAAAGGAGCATATCCATTGCCAGCTGAAGTCCTATTCGCTGCCCGGTGAGCAGCTGCTGAATTGCAATTGGCTCCTTGCAGAGTTGTTTTCTGACAACTGCTCTCTTATTGGTTGTTATGCACCACCTCCAAATGAGGTTGCTGTCAAGTCACGTAATCATTTTGCAACCCTCTGAGCGTGTTAGCTCTGGAGGCTCGGCAAGGCTTTAAGCATAGTAAGGCTCATTTAAGGAGAGCTTTTTATGCAGTCCTACTTCAAATAAAATGCCAGACCCTCCAAAAATGTCCATTAATATCTTGCCTTCTAACCTGGAGCATATGGTTGCAAAAAAGCACAATGGAAGTGCTTTCTGCACTAGTTTTCCAGCTAGCTGCATCATACCATGTTGTGGATTTAGGCTCAGTTTCCCAGAGGACCAACATATATTGGTCCTAACCTTTTAAAAAATCCCCCCTGTTATCATCACCAGCAACAACTACATTGAAGTATATCTGTCCCCTATTAACATAGTATCTAGGTGCCTCACAGTCTTTAGCCTTCCCACCTCTCAGGGAAGTTGTCAAGTGCTATTTTCCCCATTTTACAGATGAGGGACTGAGGCACAGCATGACTCATAAAGGAAGCCTGCCGCAGATTGCAGACTTGAAGCCAAGTTTCTTATGCCCCAGGCTAGTACCTTAAGCATCTCTCTGCCTAGGTTTTTTAACAACTGTCGCAAGCAGTCTCTTTATGAAATGAGTTTGCTGAGCTCAGTGAGACTGCATAAAATGCTACAACCGTGGTTCTCAACCTTTTTATACCCAAGGCAACTCTTGGTAGACTTTGGGGTGCCCTTTGGAAAATGCCAGCTCTCAGTTTTCACTGATTTTTTTGACTACAGAAAAATAATAGAGCAATTTTTCAATTGTAAAGAACTCAAAAAGACTGCAACAAGGCAGGATGTTTTTAACACTCTGGATTCCTATCTGAAATCTTCAGGTTTATCTTGTGAATCATGCTTGCACACTTACAAGTGCTAACCTTGCATGGCACCCTTGAAGAGACCTCGTGGCGCCCTGGTTGAAAATCACTATTCTACAGTGAGGGGCACAGTTCTAGTATCTACATAGGGACATCAGATCAGACAGGACTTCTTGATTCAGAAAGACCTTTACATTTGTACTGTTAATTCAAAAATGACAGGCTTGAAGTATCAAATAAATCACCACAGCTAGCATTCTTGTTGACAATCCCAGCAGAGAAGCCAGTGACCGAATGAGGATGAACACAGAACTACCTTCCAGAGGCGGGTCTCTACATTCAACATGAAGTTTAAGGCAAACCGGCCGGGCAATGCAACAAAGGTTTGGCTCCTTGCTACGCTGGGTCTGTTCTGCTGATACAGGACTCCTGTCTCCATGAGCCATCTGCCCAAACCTTTCGTTCATTTAAAAAGACTGTCCCCTCTGTCCCCAACAAAAAGTGTGTTTGCAAATGTTTATGAAAGATGGAAAAGCAGCTTATAAGAGCAGCAGCCATCTCAGCATCTTCCCAATAGAAACTGCAATAAAAGCAGTCAATCAAAATTAGTTTTTCATGAGGCTAGCAATTAAGCCTCTTTCAAGAAGGAAATACCTGAGCGATTACCTTTATCTTCCTGCCAGAAAACAGAATGGCTTCTATTCGCAGCAAAATAAGAATAGACGAGACTATATATTCCACTAACAAGCTCTCGCTTTTAAGTTTGGAATGGTATTTAACGCCAAGCAGTTTTTAGGATGCTCCAGCTACATTAACTACAGTGAATTCCTTTTTCACACTAATATTTAATTGGTCTAATAAAAGATATCAGATTCAGCCAAGGAACCTCGTCTGCCTTTTTCACACATAAGCACCTTTTGCACATACATGTCACTGGGGATACTAACCACACAACATCATAATTTCTAGCACATTTAGTTTATGCTCCTTCCTATTAAGTTAAGAGAAAGTCACCCAGCTACTTTTGGTATATTTTTACTGTTCGCAACTTCTTGACTTGAAAATAAATTATTCGCCTCAACCAGATTTACTCATCATTACCTGTCTTACTCCTCAAGAATTACTCATGACCTGTTTTAATCGCCTGTCCACAAAGTTGAAATTACCAAGAGGCTTTCTTGATTAATAATTACACATTTTGAACAGTATTTCAATCTGTTTACAGGAAATGCTGTAAGTTGCTATTTGCAAGTGTATTCCAGGGAAGTAAACACACAGTACTGAAGAAAATATTTTGAACATAGAAACAAATTATAAAAGGTATATCATTTATTTTTTAAAGTGCGAAAAACCTCTCTTACAAGTCTCTGATACTAGTGGGATTTGTTTTGCAGCAAGTAGCACAACAAGAAAAAAGGATTTCACACTTCTCATAAGTACCAGCAAAGTTTTAAGCAAATAATGGCCAAGGTGCTCTAGGAAGAAGTCAGAAAACAAGATAAATACAGCACCCTGAATGAATGCTAAAATAATAGAGTTGAATTTGTACCAAAAATTGCTAATAAAAACAGTTATGTGCTGTATGTTAATATTGAGCCCACAGGATTTTGCTCAATGGATTTCATTGGTGTTAAACATAGATCAGATCTAGAAACCCTGCAACCTCACTGCAGTTCAAGTACTGGGAGTGTAGAAAGAAGAGTTGCTGGCGGAGATTGCAAAGGATGTTCTGAGATTCTGGAAGCTGTGTAGCTGTTCTGACTCGGGTTGTTGAGGCCTATATTCTGGGACTACTGAGACACCTAAAACAAAAGATGAGAAAGTCACAGGAAGACCTATTCCTGGGAGAATTTGTATTTGAGCACTGCCTGGTGGCTAATCCTTTTTCCACAGTCCACTTCAGTCAGATTAGTTTTGATGCTTTTGGCTAATTGTCTTTTGAGTCCCTCTTATCCACTTTTAATTTCCCTCTTGCATTTGTCTTGTTGCAGTGTCTGTACCCTCTTGCTGACTTCATAACTAACTCTCAACTCTCTAACATCTGCTTAGTTCGAGTAACTTCTTGAAGGTTGCCCTTTCTTCAGACTAGTTATAGCTTGGCTTTCCAGCTTCCCTGTTAATTTAGGAGTATGTATTCCTTCTGACGCTCTGAAGGTCTTATAAGCTCCATAGTCCAAGAATGCCCTTATATTTGAGATCAATGCCCTTTTGACTTTTGCATATTTAGCATCACCACTGATTTTGGATGTGATTCCTTTTCCCTGGATGATGAACTGCATTAACTCATAGTCGTTATTATTGTGCGGCTCTGCTGGAATTACGTTTAGTCAACACTGCTGCAACACAAGACCCACAGAGCTGGTTGTGGGGTTGGACACTTACGGCACTGAGCTAAAGAACAGCCTCAGTCACCCCCCGGGGTGCTTCTGCTGCATGTGTAGACTAAAGAAACATTAGAGGGGATGGTGATAATAATGATCCATGATGCTACTTGCTACAGTTAACAGTGTCTTCACTTTGATTAAAAAATGCTTTGCCTTAGTAAACATAGGAAAAAAATCAACACAGAAACAACATACTGCAAGGTCGTCCAAGAAACCAGCATGGTTTGAATATAGACTGATTAGAGCAGGGGTGGGCAATTATTTTGGGCGGAGGGCCACTTACTTAGTTTTGGCAAGCCATCAGGGGCTGCATGACAAGCAGCGAGGGGCAGATAAATATTAATTTTCTAAGTTTTTTAGGGGCCCCGTGGGCCGGATAGAATGGCCTGGTGGGCTGCATCTGGTCCCCGGGCTGCATTTTGCCCATCCCTCGGTTAGAGGCAGTTAGTAATGTAATATCCTGCCTAGAAGGAGAGCACATTGGCAGGAGGGATGGAGGTGGACAGTCGAAATATCCATCACAGTTCAGAACATAAAGCTGGGAACTGCGAAGTGGTAGAGCCGGCAGAGCATAAGGGAGAGGGCTCAGAAGGGGAGCCTGCAGCCTGTGGAAGTAAATGGCCCCTCAGCTTCGACTGGTGTCTGACATAAAGGGAAGTCCCTGTGTCTGCAGGACTGTGTGTGTACATCCAAAGATGGAGCAACTTCCTAACAAAGGAAACGTACTGGTGTACATTGTACCCAGCTCTGCCTCCTTCAAGCTCCTATTTTCAAGCTGCTTTAAAAAAATAAATCACCATTTCAATATTCACACAAGTAAATCTGATGCCCAGACAATGCTTCTTGATTAAAAAAAAAATGCCTCCAAATGATTGTTTCCTGTCAAATGCAACACACAGAAATGACACAAAGGATCACCTTTCCACGGGGGCAATCTAGGATAACTATTTTAAATACATTAGCCTGGGTCAACTATGGAAAACTTTACTAAATTTGCTTAATACACTCATTAGGCTTGTTGTCAAAATGCCTATGGGAAATCAGCTCATGGATGAGGGCAGATGGTTCATGCTGAACCCTAGCAAGGCTAAAGCGCTGTTGTTCAGAAAGCAGAAATGCTTCAGACTGTTGCCAAATCACTGTTTCCCCCTGTTGCCCACTTATCATTATGGCAAAAAGCCTCCAGATCCCCTCTGAGCATCAGTTTCCAAAAATGACTGGTTTTGCCTTCAAACTATTACGACACTTAGGCCCAGGGCCACA